CTCTCTCTCTCTCTCTCTCTCTCTCTCTCTCTCTCTCTCGTAAAAGTCTTAAAATTCCAGCACAGGTCATGGAAAAGCTAATGATCCTTAGCCCTAGCTAAGGCACTATTGGCAACTGATGGCTGCTGGAAGTGGGAGAATCCTTTTTCTTCATATGCAGTCCCTGAAAGGCTGCTCATGCTCCAACGCTTGGTCCTTTGCCATGAACACAGTGGCAGCACCAAGTAGACACAGTAGTTTTTTTTTTTTTTAAGAGTACACAAAGTTGGAAGGAAAAAGTACTGAGAGGGGATCAGGAGAAGATGAGAGGCAGGGGTTGGGTAGATTTAATCAAAACAATTTCATAACTGAAATTCTTAAGCAATAAATTAAAAAAAACATAGACTCTATAGACAAAGTTTCAGTCTCAGATCCTCACTTGACAATAACAATGATTTAAAACTACTAGCAAGTGCCACCTGACTAAGCTCTTAGCCTCTACATCCCGAGCTTCACCTTCGTGCTTCCTAGTATAACAAGTGTGACAACTTCTAGGACAGAAACAAAATGGCAATAGCCTGGGGAAGGGAATGGGAGAATCGGTGAGAAACACAGAGGACTAAGCTGAAGATCCTCCCTCCAACTGAGAAGACCACTCTGCTACTCTTGAGATACATTACATATCATCACCCTTCCACTCCCAGGTGGGGCAACAACATTGGAGAGGCAGAAATGAAAGCAGCTGGATGGAAGGCGAGGCTATATTCATTGTACCTGGTGAAATTTCAAGTGCCAGTAAACCAGGATACTTTGAAGTTAGCAGCCAACCAAACATGTTTCCTGAAAAATAAGGAGTCCCATCCCCAGTGAACAAAAATAGGAAAGATTGAAAGTTGCTACCACTGGCTAGAGGATGAAGTAGAGAAAGGTAGAGTATAAAATTGTGGCTTTTCCTCACTAACCCCTCCTAACTCATTGGTTATTTTCTCTGAATATTAGTTGATGAAGTGTGGTAAACAATTAAACTGGCATTTTAATATATACTGTGGTGATATAGTATGGGTTCTACTTTTTGCTATAATTATTTTCTTTCTAACCTTGAAAAAGTATCTTTAAATGTCTTCTACTTTCCCAATGTAATCATTAAAATAATAAGCAATTATGTAGGTAGAGAGCATATTACTAGAGGATTGGGGAACCGGAATGAAGTGATTAAAATCTCCAGAGAAAAGCTGGGGTCCTAATTAAGCTGTTCTGTATGCAAGAACTACTCAAACTTTAAACCATATGCATGTTTAAAAATATTTGTAGAATTTACTGAATTAATTATAAAGTATTACTTTTCATCAGAGAAGTGATCTTGTGTTATATTTAGCCTGTTTACTCATATGTATCTTAAGAATACATAGAGGTTATATTTAAACTGATACAAACAAGAATATTCATAATGTACAAAACACCATGATTAGGTTGAAATAACACAAAGACACCCTTCAACTCACTGGTCTGCTTCCTGAGAATTCTAATCTCTCCATCTTGCCCTCATCCTCATGTGAGGTAGGTACCTGAGCATCTTCCCCAAGGCATTCAGTTAGCCATCCCTCATATGATGCCTTGTGTTCCTAGGTCTTTCTGCAGCACAGAATACAACTTGACAGCCTCTCTTCCTCCTCCTCCTTCTCCTCCTTCTCTTCCTTCTCTACCTCCTCCTCTTCCTTCTCCTCCTTCTACTCTTCCTCTTCCTCGTTCTCCTCCTCTGCCTCCTCCTCCTCTTCCTCTCTATTTCTCTTCTTGAGGCATCGTTTGATTCAACTCCACACAGTAACTTAT